AGAATAGGTATTATATTCATCAAATCTACAGATAACACAAAACTAGAAGGCACAGTAACTCAGTGGATGATAGAGTAAGGACACAAAAGGATCTTGATAGACAAGAGCATTGAGCTAAATCTAAGAGGATGAAATTAACTATGGATAAATATAGGATTGTGCACTTGGGTATACAAAATCAACTTCAATAGTGTAAGATGGAGAAATGTGTATGGAAAATAGCAGTTATTATGAAAAGGATCTAGGAAGTTTAGTGAACCTAGAAGGAAGCCTTCCTTGACCAAATAGTCAATATTATCAAAAGCATTGTGACATGGCAGCCAAAAAAGCTAAAAACTATTGGACTTCATTAAGAGGGACACAGAGTCCATGAAGAGAGAAGTGACAGTCCCATTATACTCTTCCCCTCACAAGGATTCATCTGGAGTGTTGTGTTCACTTCTGGGTACTGCTTTTAAAAAACACATTGTAAGTTGTAGAATGTCCAGAGGATGGTGACTAGAACAGTGAAGGGCCTTGAGTACATACATGAGGATCAGTTGAAGGAACTGAGTTTGTAGAAGAAAAGACACACTAGGGATATGGTAGCTGTGATCAAGTATGTGAAGGTCTGCCATGTGGACTTATTCTGTTTGGCTGTGGAGGCAGAATCAAGAGCAAGAGGTAGAAGTTACAAAGAGGCAAATTCCGGCATGGCATCAGGAAAAACTTCCTAACAATTACATATGTCTAAAAGTGAAATGGGCTTTCTTGTCTGTGAAGGTCTTCAAGGCAGATACCACTTGCTGGGTATGTTAGAGTGGGGATTCTTAGACTAGATGGCTTCTGAGGTTCCTTCCAATGTCAAATTCTATAATTCTGTGATTCCTTCTGATTTCCTGTTTCTAGCATAAGTACCACTGTGAGTGGCCTCATTCAACTAGTCTTTGATATTTGAAACCTTGTTTTCAAAAGTTAGTGCTATCTTTGACTCTTCCACCTTTCTCATCTAAATAATAAGTAGCCCTGTTGGTTCTACTTCTTAATATCTTTTCTATCTGTCTCCCTCTAGTACAGACCTTCAAACATTCTACTTACCTGGTCCTATATATTAGTCTCCTAACACCTTATTCTTTTACTTCCATGAAGTAATAATGATGATAATAATAATAATAACAACATTAACTAAATTAAACTGGATTAATCTGATATTGTCAGAAAATTAGGCATTCCACATGAATGAATTTTCTAGATAACTGATGCTTATCTCTTTCATTGCTACACCTTTCCCTACTTCAGCCATTTTGGATGGAAACATTTCTAAGGTGAAATGCACGTTCTCTTGCATTCTTAAACCTTCATATCTTGTATATAATTAAACTTTTATTGATAAGTCAGGTTTATATTATGAATATCAAGTATTGTTCCATGAGAAAAACACTTTGTAAATGTTAAAGTCTATATAAAAACAAGTCATAATTACCATCACCATACTGTAAAAGTGATCCTTCTAGGGCAGAGGTTCTTAACCTGGGATCTGTGAATTCGTGTTTTTTTTAATATTCTAATAACTGTATTTCAATATAATTGGTTTCCTCTGTAAGCTGACATCTTTTATTTTATGTATTTAAAGATATTATTCTAAGAAGGGTCCATAGGCTTCACCAGATGGCCACAAGAATGACTTGCCACAAAAAAAAGTTATGATTACTCACACCTACATGAACTATACCTAGACTACGCCTTTTGAATTCTTGTATTTTTTTTTATAGTTCTACCTTCTTATTCATGGATAGACTGACAGCTGTTGTTTCTTCCTGAAGTCAGTGTGCTTGATCCTATCAACCCCATTTCTACCTTCTATTTTATTGCAGGCTGAATGATAGATAACCAATTTTCTTAGGATTGTTTGAAATAATAACAACAAAAATAAAATTTAAAAAGTTCTTACTATGTGCCAGGTGCTGTGCTAAGCACTTTACAATTATCTAATTTGATTTAAATAAAAATAAATAGTCCAGGGGCAGCTAGGTGGGGAAATGGATAGAGCTCTGGCCTTGGAGTTGGGAGGACCTGAATTCAAATCTGACCTCAGACACTTAGCACTTACTAGCTGTGTGACCCTGGGCAAGTCACTTAACCCCAATTGTCTCACCAAAAAGCAAAACAAATAGATAGATAAATAAATAGTCCCAAAGTAGGTACCAGAGGGATTCTCCTTTGAGTAAAACGCATAAATGGTATTGCATAACATCTGTTTTGGCTACTCAGAGGTCTCTTTGGCTTCCTTTCCTTCCTCCTTTCCTCCCCATTCATCTCCTATCTTACCCCTGCTTTATCAGAAACCCTGCCCTAGAGGACTTAATCCCTTTCACCTCTAAAATTTCTACCCTGGGGCCCTGCCAACCTGGTCAGAGAGTGTTTTGTGCGGCCCACTATCTCAGTCCAGGCAGATTCCTGACAATGCCTCATTTTACTCCTCAGGCATCTCTGGGCCATCCACCTTAATGGCACATGCTTCCACACTCTCCATGCTTCCTTTTCTCCAACCATTCTCCCTCTTCCACCCTAATCAACCACTTTCCAGTGGGACACTACTACTGAAAAGTGGGCATTAGCCTACTCCCCTTAAGTTTCCATCTACCGCTGGTCTAACTTTCCAAATCCCAAAAACCACTCTTCATTTTGTGGTATTGTCTTCTCCTATTAAGAATGTAAGTTCCTTGAGGGCAGGGACTGTCTTTGCTTTTCCACTTTATAATCCTAGCATTTAGCATAGTTCTTGGTAAATCCTTAATTCTCTCACATTCCTAGTCCTTAGTTGTGTTCTAAGTAGTTGAGGTTATTGATTAAGTGACCACTAGATTAATGAGGTGTTATTATATTGAAAGTTTCTATCCAACGAAGTACTTCGAGGTCTTTGAAAGAAACTTTTGACGTACTTCCCTCATATACATTCTATGGATTACAAAGTATTTTCACATATTATTTCACTTGATTCTCATAATAACTCTGTTAAGACAGCAGAGTGACATCCTCATTTTACAGATGAGGAAATTGAGGATCAGGTGTCAAATTGATTGGCCAGTGATCACTCAGCTAGTAAGTAATTGGGGTAGGTGGGACTGCATTCCAGGCTTTATCAGTCTAGTGATTGTCTTATGTTCCTGCTTTTCCTGCTGAAGCCGAAGTCAGCTAATGGCTATCCAAAGCAAACCAATTACTAGGTGATAGACTCGAACACAGCAGGTGTTTAATACATGTGTTGAGTGACTGAAAACATAAGTAAGCTTTACAAATATGAGAAACTCTCTTTTCCCCTCGTAATCATAGTTAGTTACATCTGCTCTGTTAAATTAAATTCCCAGGAAGGGGCTAACTGACTTGTTCCATCCCAGAAGTCTCTGGTATGTAAAGGTAACAAGTGGAGGAAACTTTACTAGCAGGGATGACAGTGTTTTGGGTCTTTTGAAAGTGAAAATTGCTCTAGAATATGGGGCCATTAAAAAAAATGCCAGTGACCTGCCTAAGTCGCTCCAGTCACTTTCAATTTAACTTGACCCAGGAAGGTGTAAGTTGAGAGAGTTGATTTAGGCAGGTTAAATCCCTCATCTGAAATGGATCCTTTTCATAGTCAACCTCTGGAACATGAAGCTTTTATCAAAAATGAAGCAATCCCTATGACTAACAGGTTTATCAGGATGTACTCAAAACACCTTTGTAAGAGCCAACCACACAGACCACAAGCGGCGGGTACACTGAAGGCATTGTCAGCCCAGAGGGCCTACCTTACTACTCACCCCTGTGATATGGAGGAAAGGGGAAAGAGAGTGATGGGGTGGTTGAAAGCAAGATAACCTCTTCATATCCTGCCAATAATTCTCCCTAAGGGGCTATCTGGATAATCACATCCAAAAGTCCTAACCAAAACTAACACTGAGTTGTAGTGCTGGGCAAGAGAGACTAGTTTAACTCCTTGTTTTAACCTTCTTGCCTCAACTATTATTAAGAAATAAGTAAGTAGTTGTGAGTTCTGACTTGAAGCAGTGCAATTAGCTATCTCTGAAACCTCTGCCCATGCACCATTGAAATCCATCAAACACATTTAAAAAAACCATATGAATTCTTTTATGGACCACCATTTTTTTTTTCAGGATGGCAGTCTGAAAGAGAAACTGAATTGTATGTTTATTCCCTGAAATAGTGCAATTCGGCCAATTACTTTGAAAATCGTTAACAGAATGAATCGATGGCTACAAAATGCTGAACAGTGCAGCTGATTACAGGGACTGAGAGAGGCTTCCTTTTGCAGGATCGATAAACCTGATGAGTTTCACAGCATATTTCTCTGACTATGGATCTATCGAATGCATATGCATCCCCACAGAATTACATTATGTACATCCAAACAAGCAGGCAAGGGGATAGAATATAATAATAACCAACATTTATGTGGTGCTTTAAAGTTCACACAGTAACACTACTTTCAACACTTTGAATACAAAATATTATAACATTTTATCCTCACAACAAGCCTGGGAGGTAGGTGCTACTATTATCCTCCTTTTACAGATGAAGAAACAAGACTGAGAGAGGATAAGTGATTTGCCCAGGACTATACAGCCAGTGTCTGAGCCTGGATTTGAATTCACCTCTTACTGACTCCAACTCCAGTGATCTTGCCTAATATGAATAACAACAAAGATGTCTGTTATTAGGATCATATCAGCAATTTGTATTTACATAGTATTTTTCTCCAGTTAGCCCAGAGCAATACAGGATCTTACCAATCCTCACTATTCATTTTTCACAATGGTGTTATTTGTACTTTCTCAAAAGAAAGAATGAGAGTGGGGCAGCTAGGTGGCACAGTGGATGGAGCACTGGCCCTGGAGTCAGGAGAACCTGAGGTCAAATCCGGCAGTAGACACATAACACTAGCAGTGTGACCTTGGGCAAGTCACTTAACCCCATTGCCAAACAAAAACAGAAAGAATGAGATACAGAGAAGGGTTACCTACCTGAAGTTTCAAAGGGATAAATTATTCCTCCAATAGAATGTGAGCTTCCTGAGGGCAAGTACTGGTTTTCATTTTTGTCTTTGTATTCCCAGAACATAACATACTACTTTTGCACATAGCAGGATTCTAATAAAAATTTGTTGAACTGAATTTGTGTTCAAATTAGAAATGGAATCCAAGTCTCCCTACTCCTGACACATTGCCCTCTTGAGCAAATCAAACTCTTTTCCTTCCATATGCTTAGAAAAGAGATACTGTACCTCTACTAAAAATGGGGCTGAATCTTGTCCTGCTCATATGTAGAACTTGGAAGATGCTTCTTCTTCTTTTTCTTCTTCAGATTTCCGGGGGGGAAGGGGAGTGACGTGAAGAGGAGTAGCTAACTACAGACTATTAATGGAACTAGAGATTTTTATTACTTTAAATGGGACGGAGGAGGATGTGGGGACCATTCTGATCAAAATACAGAGGGAGATCTGTTCACATTAAAGCAACAGACGAGGAGCTGGGGTGGGGAAAGAACCCTTCTCACCCAGGGCAGGTCTCAGTGGCCATGCCCTGGCCCTACCCAAGATCGTCAGAAGTTGGAGATCAGACTTCATTTATTAATTTAAGGAAGGGGGAAAAGTCCTAAATGCCACAGGCACATTCCTTAAAAGAAGAGGGGGAAAAAAAAGAAGGGGAATTTCCTGAGAAAATATTGGCACTTGAACTTTCGTTCTCTAAATGAAGACAAGTCTAATTTTCCAATTAGGCCGTTTGATAGGCAAGATGACATGTGCAGAGTAGGAGGGCAGCCTCGAAACGGCATTTTTATCAACATTTCTCATGACTGCGGCGGCCTCTCTATAGCTAACAGCTGAGGAGAGCACTTTCCCATGCCGTCAGGGGTGAGGAGGTGACGACTTAAGTATTGTGGCAGTTGTTTTTCACACAAGAATCCAGCTCGCTGCAGCTCACTTGAAAGAACTGAACCCCCTTGAAAGGGAAGGGACCCCCTCCCCCTCCCCCTTGCCCCCAGCGCCCCTGCAATCTCTCCTCCCCCGCTTCATTAAACGCTCGGCTCGCTACTTGAGTGGGCAGCTCAGTTTAACCCGCCATTGATCCAGACAACTGGCAACAGTAATTGGGAACAGGGACTTTTTTTCAGAGTCGCTCAGTCGGTAAATGAAACTTCAGCTCCCTTGTGATCCAGCGTGTGTGGGGGAAGCTGCGGGCTGGGGTGCAAAGGCCACGGCCGCCCGGGGCCCGAGCGGCAGCTGCTCTTTCACAGCTTGCCCTCCCCTCTGCTTCCCAGCCCGCCGGGGAGGCGGCTGCAGCACGCGGGAAGGAGAGCTGCTGGCTGCCTGGAGCCCCCCGGGGGCCCGGCTCCCACCGTCCCTGCATCCTCCGGAGTGATGGATGCCGCCCGCCTGCAGCCGCCGAGCCAGCCGGGGAGGTGTGGAGATGGGGAAGTGGGGGGAGGGAGATAATGGGCAAATGCATGAGGCTACAGGATGGCCAGTTAGGCAAGTGAAAGGGATGATGGCGGGGGGAAAGCTTCATCAGACGTTAAATTCAGTTCATCCTCACCGTCATCACCTTAGTTCCAAAGAGTATCGTCATGATGAATGAATAAAATGGATTCAGAGGGGTTCTTAATTAGCCTTTTTGTGTGTGTCTGAGACCGCTCTGGCATTCTAGTGAAGTCTGTGTGGACCCTTTCTTAGAATTTTTTAATAAATAATAATAATAATGGAAGAAAACGCTAAATTTCAGTTTGAGGTTAGTGAAAATACAGTATGTAATTTTCCCCCATTCAAATTCGAGAACTCCAGGGTAAGGACCTCTGCTTGACTGTCTGTCATTATAGTGTGATCACTAATCGAAATTCTAACCTAGGGTCATATAATCTAGTCCAAATCCTTCATTTTTCAGACAAGGAAACAGAACCCTGGAAAGGCTAAGTAAGTTGCTTCAGGTCATTGGTTACTGGAATAGTTTGGATTCTTAAGAATTACAGAGCCACAGAATTAACAATAACTACCACCATCTCTTAACCACCTACTAAGTGCAAAGCACTGTGCTAGTTACCTTCTGAGGGAGATAGAAAGATAATTAATACAATTAATACATTGAAATCAGAGATCTTAGAATTGAAAGGAAAAAGGGGTTTTATTTTACAATGAGCCAGATGAAGCCCTGAAAATTTGTCATTTGCCCACATGTCATTTAGCCAGGAATAGAATCCAGGTCTCTTCATTCTTAGGGAAGGCTCTTTGAAGCAGGTGTCTTCTATTTTCCTTTTTTCCTTATTTGGTGATTGGTGGGACACATTGCTATTTGATGTGGGGTATTCTAACCACCTGCTTGGATGTTCTGCTAATTAACAGAGGGGCTCTACAGTCTCCTACAGAGTTTGATGACTTGAGGAAAACCTGACACCCAAAGGAAACATAGTGTGCAATTACAGCAGCCCATAAGGCATGCTTCCAGCTGGAGCAGAATTGCTTAGACACAGCCCCCATCTACCATGGTTTAGACTAGATCTCAACCAGCATCACTGAATGTTGTAGTAAGGCAGGAAGTGAGGCAAGGAAGGTATGTCCTTCGCTATATAGCATTGGGCATTTTATCTGATACCAATTTAGAAACATAACTTGCAATCATGATATTCAAAGTATACAGGTTCTGATTATTTGTCCTGGTGTGACACCATCAGAAGACCTCACGGGCCTGAACTGCCCAGCCAACCTCTGGAATTCTTGTTTACTGCAAAATGTTTCATTAAATTAATTCACCTCATTATGACTTATGAGATCTTTCACTCCCAGCTTTTAATCATGGCTGGCAAAAGGACACACCTTATATAATGATGAGGACTTAACATATACTGGAGAATTCTAAATTGGGTATCCACAGTAATCTAACACATTTTAGGTGTAGATTAATGCATTGATCTTTCATTTATGATAGACATTTCTTTTTTCCCACATTAGTCATGTTGTGAAAGAAGAAACAGAACAAAAGGGGGAAAAACACACATAAAAAAATGAAAATAGTATGCTGCAATCTGCATTTAGACTACATCATTTCTTTTTCTTGGTATGGATAGCATCTTCCACCATGAGTCTTTTGGAATTGTCTTGGATCATTGTAGTGCTGAGAAGAGCTAAGTCAATCACAGTTAATCATAACACAATGTTACTGTTACTGTGTACAACGTTCTACCAGTTCTATGCATTGATCTTAAAGCACTATAAGTTAGAGACTTTTGTGACACTGTCCTCTCATGAATTCCCTTCTGATTCACTGACTGCTCCTGTTTCCTTTGCTGGCTTTTCATCTTCTCACTCCTCAGGTGAGAGTTTCCTCCTAAGGTTCTGTCCATGACTCTCTTCTCTCTGCATACTCACTCCCTTTTTATCTCATCTACTCCCATAGTCTCTGTATTAACTCTGTGTATGACACTCAAATCTTTCCATTCATCCCTGATCAATTTCTGAGCTCCAGTGCTATATTTTCAACTGACTGCCTCAAAATTTTCTGGAGAATTTTGACAGAATGACACCTCTGTGGCTATCATATTCTACCTTGTATCCATGTAAAGGTCACATCTCCTATACTAAGCCATGAGCTTCTTGAGAGCAGGGACCATGCCATATTTTTTCATCTTCATATCCCTAGTTCCTATCACAGAGCTTGAAAATAGTAAGGCCTAATAAATATCTGTTGAATTAAATTGCCTGCTGGATATCACCTCCTGAAGGTCCCATTTTCTGAACACATCTTCCTCCCAACACTTCCACCCTTTCCCTTACCTTCTTCATTTAGAAAAAAAAATCCAGCCTTTTTTGATTCTTCCATCTCCTTACTTATCATGTCTAATTAGTTACTAAATCCTGTTGAAGCTACCTCCATAATACCTCACATCCATGAATAAATGAATGAATGAAAAAAACATTTATTAGGCACTTACTATGTGCCGAGCACTAGGGATACAAATAGAAAAGCAATAGTCTCTGCTCCTGAGGACCTCACATAATGTTATTAGGAGACAAAATATAGTAAGCTTCAACTGCAAGTCAAATGGAGAGGTCCAGTGGTCCTTAGTGTGCGGTGATAAAACAGATGGTAATGCATTTTATTTATTGTTATTTCCATTGATAAAAACCATATCCATTGAACCATTTAACTGTGTCAATGAATTTGGACTGAAGAACTTTCTTTTTTTGGGTCTTTGGTAGCTGAGGAAGCAGGAGTTATAGCACCAGAAGAAGCTGATAAGTCTCATATCTCCTCAAGGGTTATTCTTGTGGATGATGGTTGCAGGGATTGGGCTAGAAAGGAGTGTGTGTGTGTGTGTGTGTGTGTGTGTGTGTGTGTGTGTGCGCGCGCGCGTTGCTATTTCTGGAATTCTTGGGCTTATCTGGCCTTTAGTGCCTGTTTATTAATAGTCTATTTTGGTAGTGGCGGGAATAATGGACTCTTCCATATTATGTTTCAGTTGTGTCTGACTCTCTGTGACCCCATTTAGGGTTTTCTTGATAATGATACTGGAGTGGTTTGCCATTTCCTTCTCCAGCTCATTTTACAGATGAGGAAACTGAGGCAAATAGGGTAAAGTGACTTGCCATGGGTTATGCCCAGTAAGTGTCTGAGGCTAGATTTGAACGTGTCTTCCTAGCTCTAGGCCCACCGCTCTATCCACTGTGCCACCTACCTGCCTCCATAGAGGATGCTTGTCTGGATAGTTTCAGGGACCAGGAGAGAAAGCCCTTTGTCCCTCCTTCATTATTTCAGCTAGACTGGCTTGCTTGGCCTGTTAGTAACAGTCGAGGACCTCACCAGGGGTTGGCGGTATCAATGATGGTAGAGTCTCTTCTTCACAGAGCATGTTCCCCTGGACAGTGGCTACTGGTTGGAAGCAGAGCTGGTGATCTAAGGGGCACTGCTATTCCCAGGACTTTGGGGTTTATCTACCCCATGATGGTAGGTGGTTATTGGTGGTAGTGATGATGGCAGGGATGAGGAGGCCCTTCTCCACAAGTATTGCTCCCCTAAATAATGGCTATGGGATTAGGTTGGAAACAATAGTAGTTCTGGGTGCTGAGGTGGGGAGGATATTATCTTCAGGGTTCTTGGGCTTACCTTCTTCTTGCTGTGAGTCAGAGGTTGGCATTGGTGATGGCAGTGATGACAGAATCCACTATCTATCTCTTTCTTTCCACTTCCACTACAACCCCGATTCAAGCCTTTATCACCTCTTGTGTATAGCACAGTCCCAGAGATAGGAAATAAAGGTACATAAAAACCCATAATACATGACAGATTGAGAGAAATTCAAAGTAGAGATTCAAAAAAAGTGCCATGAGAACTTTGAAAAGGGAG